TTGCATGTTCTCCTTTCCAGTCCAGAGGTCTACAAGCCACAAAGTTTGGTTTCTTCCAACACGTCCCACCTGGATTTGTGTGGTTTCTCACTGCTGAGAGCCCCTTTCTTAAAAGTCGCACAGTTGGCTAACAGAAACACCTACCTTGCACAAGACCAAAGGTCATGGCTTTTCATACCTTTCACAACTAATGAAAACTATCAGCTTGCAGCCCACAGAAATAAAAAGGGGGGGAAGAATCAGCTGCAAAACTGCTCAAATCAGCCTTGCATTACCTCAAGGTTTGATCAAATGCTTTCTGTTCTACTACTGTAATTACCACCTGCCTGGTGTGGAGAGATGATAGGAGACAGTAGCTAATTCCAGTAGTGTAGTAATCTAGCACACCTTAGAAGGCATCCAAGAACACAGTAAACAATACAAAAACATTAAAACTACTGAAGAATAGACAGCCACCTCAAACGCAGACAGGTAAGATGTGGTCAGCCTCCTCCAGGGAGGCCTACCCCAAGCAAGAGATTATATTCCACTGGATTACAGAACAAAGTTTTGTTTAATCAGAAAGTTACCCAAATTTAAGATTTCTGTCAGTAGGAGTAACAAAAGAGTATTTTATAAGCTTTTGTTAGCTATCAAAGGCTTTAAAAAAATCTGAACTTCATTTTGAAACAAACTTTACCCTTTACAATTTGCTCTTGTCCTTAAACCATGCAAGTAAATAAGCATATCTAATACCTTGCCACATCAAAAGCTTAAGCTTGAGTTTCCATGTGAATGATTTCCTTTTACTTGTATTTACTGAGCCCATCCCTCCTCTTGACTAATACTTCTTTGACAAACTCACTTCCCAGGACCCTAGTAACTTAAAGCGTCAACATTGATAAGCATGCATACCTTTCATCCGGTGCAGGCAAAGCTGACAGGATGTACAAATGGTATCAAGATCAGTTTGTCAGATGGACAATGAGATCTGCACACCAGTATTTTCTAGCAGAGTTATTAAACACAGCAGTGAGAAGAATAAACTAACAGCTTGAAGGACACTATGGAGTTCAAAACAGACAGTGAAGGGCAACAGTAATGAAACAGTCATGCATTTGGGGAAAACTATGCTTCATTATGTCTATGCTTCCAAGATTAAAGGCCTCTTCAGAAAGGGACTTCCTACACAAAAAATTCTAATAAGTAATGTACTGACAAAATAAACCACAATTTTAGTCAAAAAGGAAATAGTGATGATTAAGTATGGAAAGGAAGCTTTTTATATTGTTTCCCCTAATTAAGTAGGGTTGTGGGAGGAGGTGGAGGGAACAGCACACAGGGAAAATACCTCAGGTAGGTTTCAAATAGTCTAAAGGGGCTACCAATAGTTCTAGTGTTGAGGAAAATGACTGGCAGAACGATTTTAGTGATTTGGGCATTTATTATAAGCATTCACAAGTTAGCAACTAATCCTATTATAAGGCTATATCCACCAAAAACATTTAAGTTGGGGGACTTCTACCACAACTAACTCAACTGCTGTCACCACGGGAGTGCACACTTTAAGAGTACTTCAATTCAACACGCTTATGTTTAGAAGTCACCAGCATTCAAGAATGTATAGGAAATTTTTGGAAGTTTAAATAAACAATTTTAACAGCCTTCCCTATACCACAGGTACTACATGTACCTCTGACACAAAGTTTGCCCTTATTACTAGAATAAACTTTCTCTTCATTTTAGTACTGTATAAATTCCTTTATTCCCAGAATCATTCCCAAGAGCAAGATGTCTAAAAGCTAATGGGGAAAAAGACACTGGATGCCCAGGGCTGTAAATGGATACCTTAACATAAAACTATTATGCTCTGTTACAGGTCAGGTTAACAAAAGAAGTCCGCACACAGAGTTAGATTTCTTCTTTACATCAAAATTTCTACAAAATAGGAGAGAATACAATGCAATACACAAGTCCATAAATGCAAGATACAGTACAATTCACACTAATTTACAAATGGTTATTTACACTGTTGTATATACATACACAGTCAGACCTGGTTAATGCAAATTTGGTTAAGTCCTTTTAAAATGCAAATCAAAAGGTGTAAATGAAGGTATTTAAAATTATGTGAGAAGAGACTAGCTATCATTCAGAAATCTCTAATGCTTAGGTAACTTAAGAAATTAGGCATGGATTAGCCAGATCTGACTGCAGAAATGAGAAGAAAAAAATTCACACTATTCTGCTTTACAAAAGCAACCAGGCCACTATGGTCTATTGACTTGATGCTATTTATGCAAGAATGCCGTTACTAATAATCCTCTTTATATTTACAATATAGGTTTAACTACAGTAAGAATTACCAATTTTGGCATTCATGCCCTTAGCTTAACATAAAGGCAACAGAAGATCTTCTTGGCAAGTCACAGTCAAAACTACTTAAGGATGTTTCTAGAGCTCAGTCATTTTTTTGTCCTCCTTCCAATACCTTAACATTGCTATTAAAAAGACTGAGATAAATTAATTGAAACAAGTACATGTTCTCTAGTTCGGTGCTCTAGTACCTAACTTACATTCAGAATGTCCTGTGTTCACAGTTTCAAGCTACCTTATAATCTGCAATGCTACTGCAAGCTACTGCTTCGAACTTAACACATCTGCAGATATTCCTTAGCAAGTGAGAATATCTGAGTGCTACTGGCTCAAACAGATGTGGAACAAGGCTCAAGGTAACTGGCATTTCATTTTGGAAAATGTTTTACAGTATTTCCTCAGAACTTATCAGGAATTGTTTTAACCTGCACTTGTCTTGAAAGAAAGCTGATGCAAAGCAGCATTTAAGTGTGTAAAATGAATTTCAACATGCTAAATGAAAGCCTCTACCAGTACTGCAAAGTCAACCATTGTAACCTGTGATAATTCTTGTGCTTCTTCGAAGTGGCTCAGGAAAAGCTTGCAGTATTTACTATCTGCTTCAAAGTGCTTTTACGGGATTCAGTGGAACTTCACTCCACAAGAATGAGATTGAGCTGCACTCATGAAGAGCTTTGGTTCTGCAGAAGCAAGCTTCCACTCCTACAGTTATTGCTACTTGAGCTATACAAACAAAAATACTACTGAAAAAACACATGACACTGACTCCAAACTTAATAGTACTGGTACCTGAAAAGGGAATGTGGATTGCCAACTGTTGGGGAAGTTAGGATCTGTCAAGTGTTGGATTTCCCAAGACCAAGTGAACTTCACAGCCTTTTTCAAATATTTCACAAATACAAAGCAATACTGCCAGAAATAAAGCCACCACTTGAGGAAAATAGCAGTAAGAGTTCAAAAATCTTTATCAATCTTACTTCCAAGCAGATCTGGCTGAACTTAAAGGGACTATCAAGACAGCAGGGTATTATTCAACATATGTCAATAATGTCAACAGGGACAAAGTACAGAAAATTGAAGTCTTCAGTGCTTTCATGAGCTCTAGCAACATCCTTGATAACTGCTATAAAGGAAAGTATGTCTATTTTAGCTATTTGTTTCTATTTAACTACCAAGAAAATTTGTCCAGTATAGTAGCCTCCAGCTAACAAATGCTAACGAAAATGGTTACCTAATTCCAAGTTACAAAAAACCCCAGTTCTCCCATTTGTATTACGATTTTTAAGATTTTGACTGAAGGAAATAAAAAAAAAATTGAAACATTCAGAGATGAATATAAACAAGTTAAAAGGAAAAAAATCCCAAACCTTGCTTTTGTAAAATAACAGAATGCCATTCAAAATGGTCTTCCAAGGTGAAAGTTTTTCATTCACATCAATCTTCTTTGTCCTGAATCAATGCACACTTTTGTAAAGCACATATGTATATATACGTGTGTGTATATACACATACACACACATACACACACAGCAGTGTGCTATAAAGCAATTCTGAATAAATATCTTTGCTGGAGTCTGTACAACAGACTCCCCATAATATTTACTCTTCAGGTAAGTTTGTGTTTGCACGTGTATATGCACACACACAGACTTTGTACATGTGGGCACTTATGTGACCAAAGTGCAAAGTTTTTCAGAGTATAATCAGAGTTGAGTACATGCCTGCCCAACTCCACGCTGCATTGTTGGGTTTTATTTTTCTATTGTGGGTTTCTTCCCCTCCCTCCCCCCTCCCACCCCTGTCAGATTTAAAGCCTCTCTTCCACTCAAACTTATACATTGTTTTGTTAAGTAAACATTTTCTTTTCAATTCACATTTTGTAATCCAGACCATTCTTGGTATAATAGCTTTAAGAAATAAGACGACGTGTGTGATGATCAAAGCCCCATTATTCAAGTCACATACTTTTCCATATTATCCTTCAAAAACTGGAGACTTTGAAAAGTAAATTGCTGCTACAGAAAAAAAGAGACATACCAGAATCTGCAACTACAGGACCAAGCATTTAAGACTAGAATCCAAGGTTAGAAGATGACAAAGCAGAAAGATGTCAACAATATACAAACTGTAAACCTAAGTGTCTTGCTCCCCAGTGCAACAGGATCTCTGTTCACTAATCTTCAGTTCAATAGTCCATTGCGCTAGATACTGCTGAAGCACATTAAAACCAGACACCAGAATAGTGTTCAAATTTAGAATCAAGTTTCAAAAAGGAATATAGATTTGGAATAGTGGTCTTTTGCTTTGAAAGTACACTTAATAAACAAGCAGCTTTCCCACAGAAGTTAGAGATGGTACATTGTCCATCTAACACTATGATGGTACATATCCTCAAAGGATCTGATGGCCACAGAACTTTCACATTTCTACAGTTTAACACATCAAGAAGGAAATATCAAAACATTATTTATCATTTCAGCAAGCTGGTTGATTCTTATACAAAAGAAAAGTACCATCACATGGAAAGCTACCTCCTTCTTTTTAAAAAAAAAAAAGCGGGAAAAAAATAAAGATCACCCTAACCTTTTTCCCTAGTTACAGCACACTGGTGATCTCATGAATCTATTATCACTCCTATTTTGCTTGTATACATCTAAAAGGTTAATATTCTCTGACCATGTTTTCTTTAATATAAGTTAATGCAACTTCAATAAAATAAGTTGTTAAATGAATCCTTTGGAACAACTTCACTGTCTGCACCCAACTTTTACAAAAACCGATGAAAGCAGCAATGGAATCATGTTAAACTTATAATAAATAATTCACATACAACATATGTTAAATTACAAAGAAGGATTAAATTGCCATTTCTACAACTTTTTATAGATTTAGCAAGTTTCTAATCCGTTTTATATCAACAGCAATACGTATGCTCTTCATATTAAATTTAACATTGAAGGACTGTTTAGAGGCATTATTTATAAAGCAAGAACCACCAAGTGAGCATTACAGAACTTCAACAAATGTTTAGCTTTTTTCCAGTATCTGTTCTCAGAAAAGATTCAGGGGTTGTCTCTCCACTTGGTCAGTTTCTTCCTCTTCATTACTCAGGAAGAGTTAATGTCATGACCTCCAGCTTCATTTTGAAATACTGGTTAAACCGAACAATTGCATACCTATTCAAAGGGAGAGAGAGATTTGAAGTTAAGAGCAGATAATGCCTTACATGAAAACAGCTATGCTAGGTAGGACTAGTCAAAAGTCCACCTACCCCAGTACCCTCTTTCCAACACTGTCCCTTAGCAGCTGCCAAAGGAAGAAATTAAGAACAGAGCAACCATGTTATGGTTCACCACCACCACCCACTCCCAGCTTGCTACAGTTTGCAAAACAGATGCTGTTCCGGGATTATCAAAGGTGGTGTTTTCGTGTTTAATAATTCTTAATAGACTGTCCAACATCTGACAACTACAACTCCAAAGAAATCTGATCTTGATCATTGCAAGAACGACACTGTATTCAGAACTGACACATTTTTGGGTTCTACCACCTGTGCTTTAACTTGTTTTTTTGTGCCATCTAGTGGTTATTAACAATTACTTCTACTTGAGAATAATTAATCACAAGAAGAAATTCACATTTGTCTCATTTACAAAATGACACAACTAAGCCTAGTAAACTGGCTTACTCAGTGAAAAAAAAACTCTGAAGTAGGATCTTCTACCAAGCAAAATGATTAATTTTATCACCTCGCCCAGTCCCCCCCAATGGAGAGATTAATTCCTCTGCTCGTTGCCATGAAAGACCATTCTAAAAAATGCCAGACAGACATCTACCTGAAACAGAACACCATTGGCCAGCGTCTCAGGAAACAGAACTTAACATCCATTGGCATTACAAAGACTCTTTAAAAAAGATGAGGAATTTCCAAGATCAACACTCCATGCAGTAAGAAATAAACAAGCTCTTCTGTACAAAAGCCCCATTTCTTGCTTGGCTCTTGCAGTTGGAAACTAGGTCCCACATCTGACATAGTACATCACACTGACCAGCTTCACTTTTATGCCTTTGTCTCTCCAACAAAAAGACACTCAATGCCCAAAAACATTTACTCCTCCAGGTATGTTCCTTGCCTTGTTATACTACGTGTTTTAGCCCAGGGGCACATACTAATTTAGAGAATTTTCAGCAACAAAAAGCACAGACAGCTAGCTTTTACTGTCTTGTTTTCTCTTAAAAATTAAGAGTTACAAGCATGATCACATAGATTAGGTCTGTTGCTCAGATCTGTTTCTGATAGCTGAGGTGTTGGACTAGATGGCCCCCCCCAGCTCCCTTCCAGCCTCAAGTATTCTATGATTATATGTGGAAAGCACACTTACCCTAGAAAATCAAAGTCAATGGTGGAATATTTGGCTTGAATTAGAGCCCACAATCCCCAAAAGAAGTGGGAAGCCTGAAAGAAAAAAAATTAGTGAAAGATTAACATTATATAAAATCCAACAAGTAAACACATTCTCACATTGAGACAAAAAGTTATCTACAAGAGAACTCTCAAAACCCAATCTTCTTGTAAAGTTATTTGATATCTCTTTACCAAAGAGATTGGTAAACAAGTATTATAGAATTAATTACTGGTAATTGGAGGAGTAAATCCATTGGCCTCCTGACTTTCCATGTACCATTTTCAAGAAAAATAATGCTGCATTTATGAAATGCTGTCATCTATTAAGTTAAAAAAATCCACAGAAATACGACTATCTCATTTCTACCGTTGCTAATTAAATATATATTAATCTACATGTATTCAACTCTGCAAATACGAAATTCCTTTTGAATCTTTGATTACAACCCTTAGGCCATTATAACTATAACTCACTTTCACTACTGAGTTGGATAAAGAGATATGATCTGTAGCTATGTAAGAGAACCTCTAACTCATCAGCATTTACACAAATTTCTCATCCGTTCCAAACTTACTTCCATTACGAGTTCAGATAAGTAGTCTGGAGGCCTATGTTCAGTTTCAGATTGAAACTATGGATTACATTAATGATATCATTGTTAGTATACTTCAAATGAACAAATATATGTAATGGCCACGAGCCCAATAGTCTCCTTGTGGAAGACATTTCTGGACCACCCAGGTTACAAGTGATATACTTCAGACTTCTGTTCAGTAAATAACTGCTTACAGTAATTACCTAAATTGCTTCCTGAAGCTTTCATGTAACACTTTACCAGAAGTGTAGAAGACACATGCACGCACACATGCCTGAAAACACCTTAAAACGGCAACTACTGTATGTACATGTGAATCTATCTTGTACCTCTAGATCAGATAACTTTGCCTGATAGTAAGCAGTTTGGCATTTTACACCAGCACCCATTAACTTTAGTTCGTATTTTCTCTTAATAAAGCTTCCCACATTAACTGACACGAGAGTGTTTGGCAGTATTTGTGCATCATGTGTGGTCTACAGGCAGGTTCTTGAGCTGTTCTCTAAACAGAACTCTATCCTCTTAAACATTAGTATGACCACAGTTTAAAACTGACAAAACAATGCTATATATTTTTCAACAGACCACCAGCCTACTTAACTGCAGATCTAACTTTCCTAAATGAATGGGACAGCTAAATTTAACAGTAACAATTGATAATACAGATTTTAAAAGAATAACAGCAAACAAGCTCTTATTTTTAAGGACTTGTTTAATAATCATCTTTCTAGAACGTGAACTGTATTTCCTCACTGCAACCATTAGTTTTTTGCCAGAAAACTGAAGGTATTACAGTAACAGAGGTGTGCTTGCATTAGTCAGAAAGAGGACTGAAATAAGGCCAAACTGGCTTCTTAGCCTTAGTCCTCCTATGAATAGTTTGGCATGTTATTCTTCAGGAGAAAGCAAAATAAAGTTATCTAGCTGTTGGGTAAAAGGCACTTTTGCTGTAATACTTCCTGTCACATCCTCTAGGCAAAACAAGATCAGGGCTAGTTGGAAAATGTAACAAAACCAATGTGAACCTGTAAAGTATCTTCAGAAATCACACAGAGATGGGGGGCGGGGGGCAACACATCTTCAAACTGCTTCTAACAGTATACATAATTGGGGCATTCAAGGACTCAATGCCACACCTATTTGACTTCTTATTCTACCTCCATGAATGATGTGGTTTTTTCCCCTGAAGGACAAGGCACCAAAGCCAGGTGGAATTTTCTGAAGGCAGATCAAAACTGAACATGCTCCATCCTTTCAAAGGGAAAGAACAAGGGAGTGAAGTTTTTACATTCAAAGTCTGGGAAAGACAGACTGACAGACAGGAGACAGCTTATAATGCACAAGATACAGGAGGAGCAGGGAACAGACTCACACAGACAGCCCTCACACTCTACAGAAAGGCAGAACTTCCGGGGAACCACAGGAGACTACATGTGCACTTTGCTACAATTTAAACCACCAAGGTGACCAAAATCAAATCTGAAAGCAACTCCGGCTTGCCAAGACACTGCAGGTGAGGAAACAGTTAAGGTAGTACTGAAAGACTCTACAGTGACCTAATTATCTGAGGGGAGGGGAAAAAAAACCACAACAAAAAAACCTAAAGTATCCTTGTTTAACAAAATTTTATCATCTTACTTTTAAAAGGATTTTAAAATCGAAAGATTTATAGGACTTTATGAAGTACTACCTTGCTCTTCTGTCTTCTTACCATTACAAGAAAAAGTTCAACACAGACCCACCACAAGCTCTAGCCAACTCAGGAACTTGCCAGACCAATAAATAGCCAATGGAAGTACTTGCTAAAAGCTCATCTCGTTTTCTGAATACTCACTGCCTCTTTCACTAGGAATATTTTACACAGAATTTTTAACACACAACAGAAAGTTTCCACAGAACAGACTAATGAAGGTTTTCTTTACATACCACAGCACTCAGAGAAAGAAACTGGCAATTACATTTGTCCATAGAGTAGCAGGCTTCTCTATAGCATTTCATACATTCTAATCAACAGTTTATTTACCAGTGCAAACTGATTGACTTGGACATATAGAACTTCAACTTCTTTTTCACTGACTTCTGTGCCAAATCCTTTATACTCTTTGTAGGCCTCAAGATAAGATCTCAGCCATTGTTCCTGTAATTTTCTGTTAGGATAAAGGCTGTAGTCTACCTCATTTACTCCTAGAAAAAGAAAATACCTATTAGAACCTTACAGAGTCTAAAAAGACCATTAGAATCATATTACTGGACTACTTCCCCCCCTCCTCGCCCTCAACACATATGCACAAATTGATGTGGACAAACATCAGTGTTTTTACTTTGACCTGATTTTATTAGTTACGTGTTGGCAAGAATTTCTCACGCACAAATCAGAGCATCCAACATAATAGAAAGACTTATGCTGTATATGTTTTCAGCCACATACATGTTCTACTTATATTTTGAAATTCAACAAGTTTGGCTTTGAGAGAAGCCTCAAGAAAAAGCATTTGCATTATAAAAAAAAAGCCCTCCCACATATCAAATATTACACGTTTCATAAGAAAAGGAACTTTTATGCAACAATATCCAAAGCTGAATCCATATATATATATATATATAGATATATATATATTCACCAACTAAGCTCATATTTCTGAGATGAAAAATTTATTAGAAGTCTACCTCTCTCTTCCACATCAGTAGAATTAGAAGTTTTATCTCCACAACCACTCTTTTTTGTCCTATTTTTCTTCCTATAGTGGAGATGCTTAGTCACAGGCCATACGGAGTCTCCCAGAAGCCCCAAACCTGGATCACAGTTCACTCCCACTAGCTATCATTCCCAGAGGATTTGGGAATTTTCCTTAAGTTTGGTTTTTATGAACAGTGCAATCACCTAGCACCTAAACTCTTTCCTGTGTCAGATCCACTCAAACTTAGCTTTTAAAAAGAAAAAAAAAAATCAGATGTTTACTGGATGGATAGAGAATAGCAGAGGTGAAACACAACTGCCTTCCTTAGGCAAAAAAAAAGAAATAGTATTTGTGTGTTTAATCTTCTTACTGTACTTAGCTCCTTAAAGATGTAGTGAGACTCTCAGGAAGTCCCAGATGAAAAATCAAAAGCTCTCAAATATATTTTGTAAAGAATTTAACTTGCTTTCCAAACACTTAAATTACCAAGTATACACTCTGAATTTTTTTTTAAGTTATCTAGATTTAACATTCAGTTCGTGAAACAACAACTGGTAGATTATGGCTCCTAATTTCACCATACTGCACTTTCCATCTATACTAATCATTATGTACGTTTTGCCTGTTGCCTCATCTTCTGAAATAACTCAACATACACCCAAGGTTATTTCTCTCTTACGGAGTAAACGGAATGAGCATTCACTGAAAAAATTTGAACTAGTAAATGAATGAGCCTACCAGCACCTTATTCCTAAAATCGCACCTTTTTCCTACTACAAAGTCTTAGCCTTTACTTCTCATTTTAGGACACCACTCAAGGGCAAGTACTTAGTGCACACATGCAAAGCTACCAAAAAACCACATAAGCCTGCCATTTGGAACTGTGGAACCACACAGCCTATTCTCAATATATACCTATGCTGTAAAACATACATCCGCAGTATTTCATTACAGTGGGCTGAGTCTCTGCTGTGAGTTCTGTATTTATCTAACTCTGCCAAAACTTAGGACATGATGTTCCCATTCTTGGGTTAACAGAACTGCAAAGGAAGGGCATAACCAGCCTGCAAGATGACACATTAACACATTTTGATACCATCAGATAAACAGCTATATATATGTATCTAGATACACAGAGAAAAAGAGAATGTGCAAGAATGAGGTTTTTTTATAAAACCAGTTTAACTTTACCTCAGAAATCCAATTTTTACCTGCAAATTCATTGAAGTGATTTCCAATGTCATAAGCCAGGTAGTTGTATCCAGAGTACTCGTAGTCTATGAACTGCACATCACCTATGAGACACCACAGCAGCAACATTAGAGTCCATATCAAATGAAGTCACGGCCCTAATCCTTTGGTGTCCTTTGAAGTTTTGGGGGGAAAAACAAAAACACACCACACACCTGTCTTACTTGTGCCCCATTGTGTGCACTCAGACATTCCAGAGTAAGGCTGTGACTTTTATGACATCAGATTTCCTTGAATATTCATTCAAGGAAGCTCTTAAATAATTACTTAGAGCTTACAGTTCTCTATTTTTAAACTCTGAATATCAGAATTTCAATTTTAACTTCTACCACATGAGGGCATCCCTTACCTTCAAAATAAGGAATATAGTAGAGGATCCGTTATTTAAAATTATGCAGAAAGCAGATCAATTTTTCCCCGATGTAAAAAAAGAACAGTCCTGTTTATTCTCACACAAGTGTGCAACCACAGTGGACTAACATGTTGCAACATGTTGGTATTTCCTTTGACATGTTGATATTTCCTGCTTTCTCCAACCGCACTTACAAAACAAGACTATTCTTAATTGTTGCTTTTTTTAGCTGACTTAAACTAGTCTCAAGAAACCAAGAGACAATCCTCAAGTCCTTGAAACTATGAAGTGTTATGTAAACAAGGACTGATAAAGCAGCAAACACAGCCCCAAATGTTTCCAAATTTCATTTACCTATAGTGAAGCTGGGGAAAATGCTTCACTCAAGGCAATACAGCATTGAACCTGCTCAAGAATGTCTACACCACTTCAAACAGTCAAGACATTAACAAGATTGATTAGGTAAAACTAGAGCTCTTGCATGTTAAGGGAAACAGCGAAATTACTAAAAATATCAGAAAAGGAAGCAATGGGTTAACTTAAGAGCTGTTCGCACTAGAACATTAAAATGTAAAACCTTACATTTCCCACTGCTATGCTGAAAAGGGTGATTTTCACAGTTGCACCCTTCTCCCTCTCTACACCCATTCTTTTGATGACTAGCGGCGTATTTACTCAATAAAAACATATTCCTTCTATTACAATGAACAATCTTCTTAGCATGACTTAAAACATCTTAATGCTAACTATCACAACTCCAGCTCAAAAAACCCAAGAATAATGTTAAGTATGTTATGTATTTCCTAGACTAAGGATTTTAAGTGTCTAATATACTGCCTCCTTAAGATTTATGGATATTGCACGTATCAAATACAATAGCTTTGCCAGATAAGCATCCTGACCAAGTTATCACAGAACAACTTTCTTAGAAGTGTTCCTTGTATCTATGCAATTAGTATTTCAAATTCGGTAAAGATTAACACATCAATGTTTTCCAGATGGATAAATCTTATCTAAGCACTTACAACGGAAGTTAAACCCCGCAACACAAACAAAATCACTTAGTCACAATCCTCCAAGTCAGAGTTTACCCTTACTTCCACAGAAAGAGAGGATTGCTTACCAAGGTTATGAGGTTAAACCTTTTAGGCTCTGACAAACCAACATGAAAATGGCCTGCAGAGTGGCAAGCTCCTCCCAGGAAAATCTTGTTGGCAACGGAAAATTGAGGTTCTCTAGAACTCTGAAGGGACAAGAAATTTTACAGCAGCTGCAGCCAAGATCTTATAATATTGTCACAGACTAACTTCTGCCACTGCTTGACTGGCATTCATATACTTGTACATGCTTGCATTTCCCACTGCTTCTTTAGTACTACTTTTAAGAACACACACCTGCAAGTTACAAGCCAGTCAAAATGCACAGCCCAACCCTGGTTAATATTCTGCTAAGCAACTGACCTCCTGAACTTCCCCCCTACACACACATCCCCAAACACTTGATATTGCTTGTATTCAGAGGATTTTCCTTCCTCCACCACATAAAATACAAACATGGCAGGTAAAAGTCTACTTGCAAAATATCAGCATAAGAAATACTTTAAATTTCTTTCATGTGCAAATTTCATCTTGAATATACCTATGTGCTATTATGCATTTTTAAGTACAGCTAACATTTAAAACTTACTTCTAGATATAAATAATATTACGTACAATAAGAAATTGAATCTAACAAGATACGAATGAGGCTGTTATCAGGCACTCTCCTACAGGGAAATGCATGTGAACAAGTGATGCAATAAGCCTCCAGTCAGTGCACAAGTAGCACGATGCATGCCACCGCAAGGCAGCAACAATGGCATACCTAATCTATAGCACATGAAGAAAGTTTGGAAAACTCACATTCGATAAGACAAAAGTTCAAAGTGAAAAAGTCCTGCATTTTTACTGATCTCTTTCAGACTTATGCTACTGTGGAACTCAACCTTAAGTTTAATTTTTGCATGAAAGGCTCAAAATAAAGATGCATAGTTCTTTCTGTGAAACTGAAAGAAAACAAAAACCATAAGTTTGTCACTTCATAAATGCATACATGTCTCAGCTACCTTGTTTTAGAAGAAGCAGAAGAAACTTTGCATTAATTGTTTAAATATTCACAGTATTAGAAGTTACTTTTAAGATTTACTGCAGTTCATACAGGAAAGCCACTTCTAGAAGATATGACTTACACTAGTAGGTAAGCAGCTAGCTTTTGTTTTGAGGTTTTTAACAAGTACAAAGAACTTGTACATCCCACTGATTTCACTGGGAGCAGGTAGACCAACAAGAGACACTAGTCTAAGCACATCTGTATTTTATTGAAGTGAGACATGATTTACAACTAAGCTCTGTCACCTCTCTGGAGAAGCTACCGTTAACAGGAATAGAGACATCAAGAGTACTGAACATTTCAAGTTGAAACACACTGCTTTCATCAACGGGTCTACTAGTGTAGACAACATGCAATGTAATTTATGAAAACTATATAAAGACACAAATGGAATATGTGTCGTGTTCCGTACACCAAAAATTCAATTTTTAAATAGATCAAGTAGTAGTCAAGAGGACAACTGTTAGATCTCCTCAGGGAGCTGAAAAGTAGGAGGGTGACGACACCTCTCTTTCTAGCTGCTCTTCACTTTTAATGGTTTAATAAGATAAGCACTTTCAACGTGCAAGTCCTAGCTGTAGTTACCACAGCAGAATGACGTATCCTGAGTTTCGTCCCATCCTGCTCATCAGGTGAGCCACTGAGTCCCTAGAAAACAGCTTCAGGAAAGACAATGATCTATGCTATGAACATACTTGAAAATTCACAAATGGGTCATATACCCAAGGAGTAATTTTAGCCATAAATATCCAATATACCTTTTGGGGGGGAAAAAGAAAAAAAAAAAGTGTTTTTAGATCAAAACCAGAAGCCTTAAACATACCTCAGTCTTCAGAAGCACTGAGCACCCACAGACTCCTACCAAAGATCATAGAAAACATTGGGTAGGCAGAGGGAATAAACAGAACAAAACTAGCCATCTACCTACACACTTAACTTCCTGGCAGATTATCTTAATACATTCAAAAAGAGCACAGAGATATAGACAAAAGAATACTGATACTTGGTCGTATTGAATAGCAAGTATTTGAATATTCTTAAAACATCTGTTTTTTTTGGAAACTCCCAGATTACGTTGGGAAAAAAACCCACACCAAACTTTAAGAGCATCAGAACACAAGGTCTATAAATAGGAAGTACCAAGCATCAAGCATATTTTGACTATCTTGATGCCCAAATTGTAATTAGAGCAACATGAAGCTCTGAGTTAAAGCCTTTAAAGAGTAGTTCACACTGATAATTAGAAGTTATGTAAAGTAACACTTCCAAATTTTCATATCCTGAGTGACTGCAAACGGACATTAACAAAACAGCAAGAGGCAGTGTTCTCTCAGCCACAGCATGAACAAATTCAAGTAAGACGAGTGACACTCCGTTAAATGAAGCTAGCACTCAACATGCTATTCCAGTCTCATAAACAAAATTTAAGGACATGAGACTGATTCATTTTAAAAGCAGTATGTGGCACAAGTATGATTTTTCTTTCAAATCTGAAAATTTAACATGAGTTTAATGCAGAGGACAAGTCTAAAGCAAAGCACTGGGACAAACCACAATCATTCTAACTGCATTGGACAGGAGTCCTAGCATCTGTTAATAGTCTGTAGCTTAAAAAACACATACACGCACTCACCCCGTATCTAGTAAATGTGCAAATTAAGCATTCACAAACAAAATGATAAATACAGTGTTGCCAAAACCAATAAATGAGTGAGTTTGTTTGTTTATGCGAGCTTCTGAAAAGCCAGATGAGCACTACCAGCTTTGCTTAAACTTTACTGGGGAAAGAAGAAAAAAAAAGTTAATCTAGAAGACCGATTCTTTCTCTTGTTCCAGCTTAGGGTCACCAAGGTCTTTTTGATACACAGGAGCCTTTCTAGATGAAAGAATAAATTTAGTAAGGACAGCATCAAAGCTGTTAACTACCTTCAAACAGTTTGATGTCATTCCTAATGAAGTACATCTTTAAAGATTCTATTTTGTGCTCTTGCAAAATTATTTGTATACCAATAAAAGCTTTTGCTCTGCTAAACAGAATTCCAGCAATACATGTTTATTTACAGTTAAAAGCTGAGCTTCCACTTCTAAAATCATGTTCTTCATCTTAAGATTGTACTAACAGACAGATTGATATTTTTTGCTCTGTAAAAAGTACACTGTAAGAAACAGCTTTCAAACAACAGACAAATATTCTACAGATGGCATTGAGGTTTGGTTACTATGAAAATGGTACCTGTTGTACCCAGACTGCAGAAGTTTTACAACACAGTACATGTGCAACATTCAAACATAAGTTTAATAAATACATATATTCCATACTTCCAAGTATTTTTTTGCCCCCCAAGATGCTTACAGCTAGCTTGAAGCCAAAGTGCTTTACGTACCTCCCTCCTCCCCACTCTGTCCCCAAACACTAAGCACTCACACACTCCTAATTGTAGGATTGCTCATAAGTGATACACTGCTGGCATTGTTTTTTCCTCCATTCTGTTTACAAAGAGAAAAGCATATAGCATTTGTTTTAAAAGTAGGAACTTCAAGCCTATTGACTGTGACAGTAAGCCTTTAAAGGAATTCCTCCAATTTTTTTTGCAGCATGGTTCTACTATGAAAAGTGACTATAAAAGTTACTTTACCTCAATGGGTCTGTCTGTTACAAAATGCTAAAACTCAAGGTAGTTTCAGCACTGAAAAAACCCACACAGTAACAATAGATTTATTTTCGGTACTACAGTATCACAACTCGAATGTGTTTAAGACCACAAGCTGATTTTTTTTTTGCATACCTTCCATGCTTCCCCCCGCCACCTCCTCTTTTTAAGCAGAACTATAACCTACCATGGAAACTAAGTAAAACCACTGGAGTTTCGCACTGAATTTTTAGAATTTAAAACTGCTGTTATTAGCGTTGTACAGGTATATACATATATATGTATATACCTATAGAACTAGAAGTACTAGCAATTCCCTTCAAAATGGTATTACTCAGAGGGAAACTTGTATACAAACCACCAAAAGACTTTTACTTTCTCAATTCACATGCATTCAGTATATCTGATGCAAAAATTGGTTATACATACACAGCCAGTTTTCATACTAGAACCAACTCCAGCATGTTTTTGTTAGTTTTTATTTAGAAATTAAGGCACATAAGCTTAAAAGGTCAAAGACCGATGATGACTGATGGAGAATACTTCAGTTCCATTCACACACTTTTGGCTTACCTACCAACAGTCTTACCATTAAACTGTCACAAACAAATACGAAGCTACTGAAGGAATATGTCATCCTCACTTCAAAAGAAAATCTTGATCTAACCTGATGATTTTGTTGCACTCAGCTGAGCTCAGATATTTGAAATGAGAGGAAAGCTGTGCATTTTTACTGCACCATGGCCATTTTAGTGTTGCAAGTTTGCCTTTTTTGTTTGTTTTAATATCCTGTTTAATCAATTCATTTAGTAACCGAACCTCAAACCACTAAAATCCAGAAATAAAAGAAACTGTGGGTTTATACAAATGCTTTATAGATTTTAGCTAATGCATTCTTTAATAACATGAATTGTGAGTTAAATTTATTATAATTAAAAAAATGTAATTAATTTTTGCTAAGATGTGTACTGACTACGACTGGTTAAATAAAGTATGTATTTACAAAAGAAGTCTTTAAGATGCCTATGTACCTCACGCAGGAAACAAATTGAGTCACAGAATGTAGTATTAAGTATCACTAAGACACTTCATTATGAAGGTGCCTTCCCATAATCACAAACGAGAACAATACACATGTTATAGAAGATAACGTCTTCAGGTTATTTTCTATGCTTGTATTTTTTTTCTTCTCTGAAAAGCTTTATATTACTAGAATAGAATTAACATAAACAATTACATACTTTGAAGCCTAGTCATACAGGCAGGCTAGGGATTAACAAATTCAGTAAAGCAAGAAACATCAACATTCTTCCTTTGTACAGTAACATATAGATGAGAATCAGCTAATGAAGCAACTTAATATTTGCACAGATATCACTACCACTACATTGGGTCTTAAAAGCTCAAATTGAGTACACTCGTTAAAGTCAGTAAAATGACACTACTGATACAGCAAATGCAAATACAGCAAATGCAAATACAGCATAAAAAAACTAAGCCACTACTTACTGTTTAGTTCAATACCTACCTCGTTTCTTGTTGTAAATAATATTCTTACACAACAGGTCATTGTGACAGAGTACCACCGGTGATCCTAAATTTGACAGTCTTTCCTTCATCCAGGCCATCTCTTCCTGCAGAACTTGAGGACTTGGAATGTCACTTAAAAACCTTTTCACGTATAAGAAGTTTGAGTGTTAATATCTAGTACTGTGTGTTCCATACCAAGCATTTGTGATTAAGTAGCTTAAATTATTTTCCCCTACATTCTTATTTCAAATAATTCAATAGACCTTCTCCCAAACTAGAGC